TAGTAGCATTACTTGATATTCTGGGAGATGGTGGATAGATTGGATACAAAATGAACCCTACAGTGAACGTTGCATCATACCGGACGAAGTATCGAGAAATAGTATTTTTGGCGCTCATACTGGACGAGATATGGGGATGACTCGATTCACCCTCATACCGGACGGGATATTGATGGATGACATCTTTTGCGCTCATACCGGACAAGGTATGAGGACGGTCGGTTAGTTGATAATATTGAAGATTGGTTTAAGCGTAGTAGGATATTCCTACGGGCCCCCAAAAATACCAGTAGACAAATAAAAAGGGAAAATTATTGTTTCTAAAAAAATTATTGTTCTTGCTCACTTGAATATTAGATTGAAATGTTATTTGGGTTATTATCTATATAGATCGATTTTAAAAATCTCACAACGGTAAATACATGCAATAAATAGTTTTCCTCATAATAAATGAATTTACTTAAATCAAAAGCTCAATTAGTTGTTTCTATGATTTTTATCAATCTTCATTTTCTGTATCGGTGAGTAGAGTAATATTTTTACTGGGATAGTGTAGTTTACAATTTCATTAACTATTTCAGATTAAGAGAATCAAGACCTAGATCATAATAAACAAGAGGGTTGTGAATAGTTCACAACTCGGACTCTTTTAAAAGGTAGTGAAGGTCGTGCTAAAATGCTCAGTTGTTTACTTTTCGTTTATTTATTTGATTTTCGTTTGTTCTTTTAGAATGGACATTCCTGTAACTTTATTGAATATTTTAAATTATTGTGTAAGGAATGTAAATTCTAACTCTATTGTTCCGCTTCCGCATTCAATTCATATTTTTATTTCTTTTTAAATTCCGAACCTTTACAACTTACAGTTAATATTATTGAAATATTAATTATTTTATTTTCTATTAGCTTAATTATTTAAATAATTTTAAAGAACAATATAGTTTATAAATATTTTCGAAATAATTTTTATAGGATAATATTAAATTATTTATTTAATTAATTTTCGATCTTTATGGGTTGATCCAATTTAGACGTGGACCGAATGGACATGCTGAGAAGCACAAGGCCCGTGTCACATAATTTTTGTATGATATAACGAACTTCAAAAAAGGCAAACATGACTTGCCCTTTACAATAAGTAATTGACATGAATTATAACCATTGATTATAGAGAAGCAAAGATCGATTACGCAAATCAATTAGTCTCTTTCAATTGTCACGGCCTTGAGATGCTATTTTCTCGGTGGCCAAGAATGATATACTACATATATGTACGCATGTATACGTGCGTGTATTGTTAATTCAGCATACCTATATGTAGTCAGCAACTTGATATATACATACGCACGTGGCTTTGTTCATTTTTTGCTTCCCCATCTGCTCAAGTTTTCTGAGCAACGATACTATTTTATTTATTTAACAGTCTAAATTATGTATCTATTTTTATTTTCATATTTTTTAATAAAAAATTTAATTTATTGTACTCAACTCAACTTAGTTAAGTGTAATTTGATAACATACCAATAATTTATATTATTAATTTTATTACAATAAAATATTATACATGGATCGACGTCGTTAACCTATAAAAAACTAATAACTTAAGACGTAAAAAATTTAATAACTAAACAACCATTTTGTTCACATATTTTACTATTTTATAATTTGATGCTTTATCACTTTTTATGAAATATTAAGGTTTAAGACATTTATTTGCCTCAGAATACAAAAGCACATTAAAAATTAAAATTTTAAGCTGAACGAATAAAAATTACAAAAGAAACACCAAAAAAATTTCGAATCAATAAATTTTAACTAATTAACTTGGCAGATAGATAATAGCAAAAAAATCAAACCATAATTTACTGAATTGTAAAAAAAGAAAGAGAGAATCAAAATTTAAACTGTAAAAAAAATTAAAAAAAGATGAACTTGTCAGTCACGTTTTACACTGTGGATATCTACATGGGATGGGATTTCATACCAACATGTTATTTTTTGAAAATTTTAACTATTTTCACAATTATTAACGACCCTCCATGAATTGATTATTTCACAAAAATACCATCTTATTCTTCTGTTTTATTTTTTAATTTTTCAAAACAAAAATAAAAATAAAAATTACTAATCTGGTTATTAATGTCAAAACTAATTATTGAAAAAGCTTACAATCTCACAATCATATCAAATCATAGTCACATTATTTTACTCTCAGATAACTGTATATAATTGAAATTTATAGACTCTACATTTAATAAACATACATTTACCCTTTCTATATGTAATAGTACCGCAAATTTAAATCATATAATGAAATATTCAACAGATACCATACCATACCAGGATACTACCATCCAACAAAGAAACCAATAACTCGTATTTCCTCCCCACCTCCCAATTAACCAAATACACCATAAGATGACAGATATTTACATATGCCTCGACATTAGCTTTGTAACATTCTACATAAATTGAACAACAAAATGATAGAAAATTGCATAGCATGGTGCCTCTCAAGCACCATAGTGAAAACCTAAAGAGATCCTAATGGTAATGAATCAACAGATCAGACATTGAAATTTACTCGCATGTGCAAGTGTAGCATAATTTCGCATTTGCTCCCATGATGACATGAATATTATATTCAAATACAGATACACTGCATCTGCCATTATCATAGCTGTTCTGACAGTCAACTTCTTAAAATTAAATTTCAGATTTCCCATTGATGAAGTAAAAATAAATCTTACAAGTTTGTGATTATCATACTGAAGATAAATCTTACAGCTACCAAGATACTATCATCCAGATTAAGAGACCACTTATAACTTCAAGCCGTAATCCCTGAGCAATTTACACTAATCTATAAAAAAATTGCCAAGTTACTATGAATTGTTACAGGATTACTTGAAGGCATGGATGCCTTTGACGCACCATAATGAAACACTAAACAGACCCTAAAGATTCTTAGTTGTGAGTCATCAAATTCTAACACTGCTTGCCAATACAATTTATAAGCAACCACAAACAAGAGGAGAGGGACAAAGCAATGTTAACAACAGATAAGTAAACTTGAAGATACAAGCAAATCAATTAATAAGATCTCATACATGCAATGGTTCAAGTATCAAACTCCCACCAAGAGATATTACTTCTGCAAAATACACTATAAGATGAATCTGAACAGATGGATTTTCAAATTCCAACCTTTTATTAAGCAAAGAAACTCAATCCTAATGCTACAAACAGGACAGAGGAACCACCAAATGAATGGCAGAGGAATATTACCTCCATGAAAAATCTTGAGAACCCTGCAAATGCAGTCCACATCGACTAATCAGAGAATTGCTAAAACTCTTTCCTCATGAGTGAGACAAATAGACAAGATGGAAGAGTATCAAGAGCCATCACTTCCTTCTCAGTCTGCCCTAGATTGACCAGCTCGAGAAGATAAGATGATGCCAACAATAAGGCCATAAAGTGCAAGAGCTTCAGCAAAAATGAGGATAAGAATCATCCCAACAAAAAGTTTTGGCTGCTGTGCATTAGCTCTGCGAAAAAAGAAACAACATGTGTACTGTGATATGAATCCATGTTAAAACACAGTTTTCATGGGACAAAACTTTAACAAGTGTAAGAGCTAACAGGTTCAGACAATATGTGAAGTTGCATATTAGTTTGATTGTTAAACAAGAGAATGCGGTCTGAGCATCAGATTGAACTTTTGTTAAATTAGAATGCTCAGTAGCAATACTATTCTGGGACTCATCATATGGCTTGAAAAAGTCATAAGCTATCTACATAGATATTAAGGATCCAAAGTAAGACATATTTATACTTGGACATATAGCCATACCAAAAACTTGTGCCAAGTTCAAACAACATAGATAACGATAACTTACCCCTACAATTTCTACCACTTTATAAAGTTTGAATAAAGTGCTATTCCAACTTAAATGTTATCTTCTCATCGATAAAGTTTGCATGGAAATGGTCCCACTGCAAAGCCGCTTGTTGCATAGACTTGCTTCTTGCAACAAAAGGAAAGCAAACTAAAAGCCACTTCAATTGAAGGTGTTTCAAACTCCTTTTTCTTTTAATTTTTTTTTACGTTTTTTTTCATTGTGAAAAAGATAAAGTGAGCATGTCTGAAACTCACATTTCATTGAAAGATAATGTTTTTAGCAACAGCTAAGAGAAACACATACTTCCCTTTCCTTGAAAAGAAATACAGAATTAGAAGACTATACCCTTTGTGTAAATATGCAGGAATGTGAATCGGGGAGGTGCACATAAAATACTGTTGTAGCTACGGTTTAAATCAGTTTTTCAGGGTGATGGAAAGCATCTACAATACCTATTCATCTTAAAGAGGTGTATTTTATAACATATGCAAACACTGGATTTTAGGAACCAGACAAGAGATAGAACCCAATTCACCCAATCAAGTTCTCAAATAATGGTTCCATATCCAGAAAATTGTGGGAAGGCTCTAAGCTTGTAAAATTAAATAACTAAAAAAAATAAACAACCACGATAGACTATCATACAACAAAAAAGAAAAGGTTGTATATAAGCAAGAAATGGAAACCATACCTTACACCAGCATCACCAACAATCCCAATGGCCATGCCAGCAGAAAGCCCAGCAAGACCACAAGCAAGACCAGATGAGAGATGTGCATAACCATCAAAAAGGTAATAAGATTTAGCCTTTGGGTTAATTCCAGTACTGATAATAACAGCAATAATCAGCCCATAAATACCCAAAACACCAGCCATAACAACTGGAACAATTGACTTCATCACCAGCTCAGGCCTCATCACACCCATGGAAGCCACACCAACACCACTCTTTGCTGTTCCATAAGCAGCTCCCATACCTAAATATCAATAAACTCCTTAATATATATCACAGGAACAAAATATAAATCCATTTTTAAGAAAAATAAAATGCTTAGTGTTTTTTGGTTTAATATAAAAGAATGCTTGAAGACTAAAATCTAATCATCAAATTCCAGTATAGCAATTCTTCCACGCACAGAAAAACAAAATATATGCATCAAGAGCAGCTAATCAATGGATTGTGTTTGAATTCTAGAAATAAGATTTTGGTAGATCTGCAAAAGAACTACTCGATCGAATCTCTGTTTAGTTGCTTGGAAACATAGCCAATAACAAACGAATTGAATAACCATCCCACTTAATCACAAACCTATAAACATTAAAAATGGAAAACCTAATTAAAAGCAAAACTCATCAATCGGTTGCATGTGCGATACTAATCCCCAATATCCAACGATCTATCGCATAATAAATTTCCTATCAGTCCATTTTCCACTTACGTACCGAAATAAAAACATCACATCAATAAACATCAGGACAAACATAAGAATAGAGCTTCAAGTTAGGATTTGGTTACAGGAGAAGACGAGTGCAGCCGCTGCACCAAGGAAACCGAAGAAAGGTGCAGTTTCATCGCCACTGAATGAAGAGGCCATTGAAGATGGTGGATCTAAAGCAACGTCGTTTAGATCTGGAAACTGAAAGCTCGCGCGTTCACGTTTCGCAGAGAGATTTTTTGGTGTTTGATCTCTCTGGTTATGTTTCAGACAAGCCAGCCAAGCAAGAAGCAGAAAACGATCGTACACCTCGGTTTTATATTCGCTTAGACCGGTATCAAAAATGGGTCGACCCGGGCCCATTTGTTTGCAGTTTGGGCTGCCAATGGGTTGGGTTTGGTTCCCATATTATTTGTAAAAATTAATTACAATTTATATATTTAATAAGTTACATTTTTAATTAGTATTTGGGCTGCCAATGGGTTGGGTTTGGTTCCCATATTATTTGTAAAAATTAATTACAATTTATATATTTAATAAGTTACATTTTTAATTTTGTAACTATTACTTTGTATTTGAACATATCAATAAATAAATAAATAAATAAAATAAACTTAAATTTTGAATATTGAATTAAATTAAAATTAAATTATTATTTTCAATCAAATTTTCCTTATAATTTATTATATTTATATTTGTGTTCTAAAAATTAGAATTTCAACAAATTAAAAGTTTTAATTATTAATTCATTTCTTTGGAAAACAAACTAATAGTCGAATTCTTGGTTCAAATGTTTTTACTTGAACAAATAAATTACAAAGAATTAATAATTAAATTATTACATTATGCACAAATTGCCCATTTTTAATTTAAAAAATAAATTTATTTATTTTGTTATATATAACATATATGCACTTATTATAACATAATTTTTTTTAAAATAAAAACAGACGAATATATATAATTTAATTTAAATATATAATTTTTTATAAAAATAATTTAATTTACAGAAAATATTTAAAATATTGATAAGCTATTTAAATTTACCGATTGTCTGCTAATATAAATAAAATAATATTAAAAAAATTAGACCATCTACAGTCTCCACCTGGTCTCTATATTATCGAAGTATCTTCCAATATAATTATCACTCTACTGAAGCCATCCACATCATTTGGCTTGAAGACATCGAAGCCACAGACTGAGACAATCGAATCAGAGAGGAGCTCCGATTATCAGACGCGAACGAAATGGCAATAACACTCAACAATGGATTCAAGATGCCGATAATCGGTCTCGGTGTTTGGAGAATGGAAGGGAAAGACATTAGAGATCTTATCATTAACGCCATCAAGATTGGTTACCGCCATTTTGACTGCGCCGGTTCTCTCTCTCTTTCTCTCTTTCTCGTGCATATATATATATATATTATATTTATATATACCTACCGAGTAAGGTCATTTTGCTTCTGTTTCTAAGGGATTCTTGATTTATCATAGTTACTTAGACTAGGAAACCACTTTATTATGAAATTTGCTGTCAGTACAAGAGATCTTATTAGTATAGTTACCAATTTCCTCGTCAGTTTTTTAAATTTGATTTTACCATATTCTGAGGAAACATACTGGGATGTCGTTATGGTATTTAAGTATGTGTTGTGTCGATGAATTAGGTGCTTATAGGGTTTCATCTGGGAATTGGAGGACCCTGAGTACTTTGAAAGTAGGAATATGTACTTTTAAAGTAGCCATTCTTCATTTCTTGCTTTTTTGGCAAGTATTTCTGATGCTTTTGTCTGGGTCTTGCATAGAAATGTTTGTGAGGTGTGTGATCTTTTGACTGGTTAACTTAATATTTGCTTGCAGCTGATTACAAGAATGAAGCAGAAGTTGGAGAGGCCCTTGCTGAAGCATTTAAGAGTGGACTTGTCAAGAGGGACGATCTATTCATTACTACTAAGGCTAGTTTAATTGTGCTTTTAGTCTGAATTTTTTGTTTGTTTTGGTTTTCAGATCACTTGACAGGTCTTTTCACTTCCTATTCTGCATTATTTGCAGCTCTGGAATTCAGATCATGGACATGTTGCTGAGGCATGTAAAGACAGTCTTAAGAAGCTTCAGCTAGATTATCTGGATCTGTACCTTGTTCACTTTCCTGTAGCCACGAGACACACTGGTGATTCTTACTTGTTTTGGTCATTTTTCGGCTTCTTTCCTCATGTACTGCAGGATGTCGTTAACCTGACAGTTTTTTTTCTTAAAAAAAATTATTTACGGAGATAAGTGGAATCATTCAAGAAATATATCCATACGCATTTAAATGGTTTAGGAAGGATATTCCCCACAATTGGGACAGCATGACTTCTTGATTTACTCTGGGGTGTGCTTAATGGAATAGTCATCAGGAATGTCTTGGGATTTTCGTTATTAAAGATGAGTTGTTTTTCTTTTGCATAGGTCATGTGTCTTAGATGTATAAATTTGACATTGGTTGACATGGGTTTATAAGTCATGTTATATTGTTCAATAACAAGTGCACCAATGCCACATGCTTCTGCCTCCAAATTATAAAATTGAGGAAATATTCTGTTTTGCCGTTTTGGTATTAAAGCAACTGGGAATGGATCATCCTTCATGGTGATACATTTTGCTTAGCTGTTCTACTCTACATGCTTACAGGAGTTGGTACAACAGACAGCGCTATCGGTGAGGATGGGGTGCTGGACATAGACACAACTATTTCACTGGAAACTACCTGGCATGCTATGGAAGATCTGGTTTCCAAGGGATTAGTTCGCAGCATAGGGATCAGGTACATCATTATTCAAATATCACCGTTGTCAGATCCTGATTACCTGTAGTAAAACTTGATATAATGCTGTCCAAAATGTTCAGGTACTTTGTTGTAATTCTCTTTTTTAACTTGTATTAAAGACCATCTGATAATATTTCACATACTAGTTCATCTTCTATAACGTAGTAGAAGAATTTTTACAATATCAAATCAATATGCTGCTTGGTCAGTGCTTTCCTGTATATCCTATGAGTGTCAATTAGACCCGGAGAAATCGTCTGTATCACTTAGTATTTTTCTACAGATAATCGCCAGCATGTATCCCTTTTCATTTTAAAATACTGTGTAAATAGATATATGAATGTGTATGAGGACAAGTCAGCTTCAATTTGCTTCATCTCACGTACTTGATAATGGTCACTTTTTGGTCTTATTTTGTGGTTCAGAGTTCCATCTTGTCTTAAATCTCTGCTTCTAGCCATAATAGAACATGTTACCCAGATTAACCAGTGGGGTTGACGTTGTCTTATCAATACAAAATTGGATGTTACTGAAACTTTTGTGCTTAGAATGGATTCTCCAACTGTAAGGAGCAGCCTCATTTTCTTTTTCATGATATACTTCTCCAGATCTAATACATTTTGGAATTCTGATGGGAAAATTGTTTGCAGCAACTACGACATCTTTCTAACTAGAGATTGCTTAGCTTACTCCAAAGTGAAGCCCGCTGTAAATCAGATTGAAACACACCCATATTTCCAACGTGATTCTCTTGTCAAATTCTGTCAGAAGCATGGAATCTGCGTTACAGCCCACACCCCTTTAGGAGGTGCTGATGCCAACGCTGAATGGTTCGGTACGGTATCATGTTTGGAGAATCAAGTTCTTAAAGTAAGTTATTCTTTCTTTCTTAGTCAGTATAATGGTTGCATCACTACATGCGCCATCTTTACTAGCTATATTTTAGCAGGATTGTTTTTAGCCTCAAACTTCCCCTTCTTTTGAGCTCAGGGTCTTGCTGAGAAATACAGAAGGACTGTGGCTCAGGTTGTTCTCCGTTGGGGTATTCAACGAAACACAGCTATCATTCCAAAAACATCAAAACTCGAGAGATTAAAGGAGAATTTCCAAGTTTTTGATTTTGAGTTGGCCAAAGAGGACATGGACCTGATTAACAGCATAGACAGGAAGTACCGGACCAACCAACCTGCCAAGTTTTGGGGCATTGATCTGTATGCATAAGGCAGTCGATCATTCATGCAAAATATCCGCAAGAAGAATGTACTCTATGTTGAGGGGGAGAGAGAGAAACATCCTTTCAGAATCATGAATCCAATAGATCGGATAGTTCTTGAAGTTCTTAAAATGATCCGACTATCATGAACCTTCTCTCTTTTTATTTCTTGTCCATTTTTATTATATACACTCAAATGGGAATAAAACATTAGCAAAGAACATTTGTTATTTGTCAAAATTTAGAATGCTTCCTGAATAATCTTCTAACATTTTATAGTAATTCAGTAATATTATAAATAATCACTCACATTGTGTATAATTTTAGTGACCAGACATCATATGATAACTTGTTAGTGGAGTGTTAACAAATAAACTGCAGATACTTTTTCACCATGATACTTTTTTCCTTCAGTATAAATAATTCAAAGAATGACTAGAAAGTTAAGAGAACAATTTGGCTATGGAGTTTTCAATAGTGAAATTTGCCAATTATATCTTTATCAAAAAATTTGACAGATACATGATCTGTCTTCCTTTTTAATTTTCCTAAAGGTGCCCTTTTTGGTGATTAAACAAAAGTAACATATCAATTATATATTTATCAAATACATAATAAATTAGTACACCTTACAATCTCGAGTTACATAAACACTTCAACAACTTATAACCTTTTTGAGATAAAGATGAGCCAAAAACTTTTATGATAATTTAAGTACGCGTGGAAAATTCAAAGTTCTATGATTTTGTGAAAAATGTTAAAAAATAAATGGAATAATAACATGACGACTCCTTGGATAATTCTCAAACTTACGAAGATACCATCTATGCGTTTCTGCTGCAGCGAGTGACAGATTTCCAGCCTGCAAATGCCCAATAAAGAAGATGCATTACTAAAAGCGCAATAATAAAAGCAAGCAACAAGTTTCAGGGTATTTCGGAAAATAATACCACAAATACAAAAAGTAACCAAATGGTTAGATCAGCTCCTCCACTGGTAACCAAGAGACCTGCATAAATGACCTGTACATTGGCAAAAGACAAATGTAACCATACAGACATTAAACATTGGCAACTGCCTGCTAAGACTGAATGGAAGACTCTCATGGCATGGATGGTAAGGAGAGAGAAGATTTACAATCTCTGCAAGATAGTGCGGTGACGAGACAAGTTCAAACCAATCTCCGTGAGGAATTACATATTCATTGACGTGGTTAGCATGTTGCCGCAATGAACCCTGGTACGTGTCTTTTGTTAATCAAGCAAGAAGAATACAGAAGAGCTAAATAAATTCATGGGCAAAATGTAATAGCTTGTTGTAAGGTTTTTCTTCCAGCATTATGTTCAGAATATAGATAAAGTTTAGATAGCCAAATAGCTGCTTAAGCTCTAAAAATTGGATATTTGCATGCATATTAGTTCATATCATCATAAATTTCAGATGCAAATTTAACTCAACTATGTTCTAAAAATTGACCTCAGAGTCTATTTCTAAAGATTAGATTTATGTGTGAGATAAATATTGTGAGGCAAACAAGAAGGATCACCGTTAGTTATGCATACAATTTAGAAATATAAAAGCTACAAAATGAGCAAATATAAGCTATACAATCTCGACCTATACTTTCCTGCTGGCTTCGTTTCTCATGGACGTATTTTAGAAGCGGAACAATTCAATGACCCAGATATTCAATGAAGAAAAATAATATGACATGAAAGTCAGAGTCGAAGAATTTGCAAAGAATGTGATAACTATTTTGTTAGAACGTAATTTTTTGAGTTCTCACACTTTCTCTGTTTCTGATGAGAGAATATCAGAATAGAAAAACTTTACGTGTAATTTGGAGATCATAACCGCCTATTTATAAGTAAACTTTGCTCATAAATTTTCTATATTCCTAATTTAACTTATCACAAAATTAGAAATTATAAATTTGATCTCTACACATAAAATAAAGTTCACATTTTAATTTGATGCATTAAGACTCAATATATTCTTACCCGTATCGGATCACTTCTAACTGGGCCCAATTAATCTGATAGTTTTTTATACACAATAATTTACACATATAAACCCACATGGTAAATTTAAAATCCAATATACTCTCTATCTATTCTAATAAATAAATAAATAAGATTCTTGTTAGGGGAAACCAAAACCTACAAAGCAAAGAAAGAATTATTTTGATCAATGACAAGTAACGCTGCACTGGGGCGGTGGTATCTCAAATACGAAAAATACATCCTCATTAATGCTTTAATGACATTAACAAGGAATTTAACGAGAATTGAAACAAATGAATAAGTTCTATCACTAGAGCAACCCTAATAACGGTCTGCCTTAGATGACAAAACAAACTACAATGTCTGGGACAGAGTAAAAGACATGTAGGAAACCATAACCAAAATAATCACAAATCAATCAGACTTACAAGAACTGAATGGCAACGAAACTGATGAATCCAACCCCAAAGAAATATGGTTGCGCCAATCCACTGGCACCACCCAAGCTTCAATAGAGGACTTGCATATTCCCAATGAAATTCTGGAGCTGACATTTGACTCTTTCCTTTAGCAACAAACTCGGCCATTAAATTCATTGTGAATCTGCTCACTTCAGGTGCAAAACTACAGCATAGCGACAGAGGTGTTGCTACATAATAACTGACCAAATAAGGGAATTTAAAAGAAAATTAATAGAAGATAATAAGACTGCATTACGAAAAAGCAAATTGACAGATTCGAAATAACTTCTGCATTAGAGAAATGTTTCTCAAGTATCAATTTGTAGCAAACGTTGTAGCTTTTAAGATATTATCATTACTCGCAAGAACAGATTAGTTTCTTTTCTCCAATAATATGAATGTCCTAACCAGTCTGATTTGATTCAAATACCTCAAGGTGTGTCTGGTTCAATTCTCATTTAATTACTAATCGATTCCTACTTCTCATATTAGTTTTAGCATGCTTTATTAGAGCACAAAGCGTCATTCTTAGATTACCAAATACCTGCTTGAATTTCTGATGGTAGGAACTTGCCTTCAGATGGTGATGATAGTAATTCAATACACAAATTATGTGTACTGGAAAACTATATGAAATTAGAACAATGAATTAAATGAGAATTGAACCAAACACAGCATAGATTTTCAAAATCAAACAAAACATTGAACAATGACTGAGCAATAGCATTGCATGATATCCGTAGAGCATGAAGAGAAAAGACAATAAACAAAGGATTCCAGAGAACTCACAACAAACCAGCTAGATAACCATTAATATGCATCCGAGCTGAAGGGCTGTACTTGGACACATACAATGACTCAATGAGGCGTCTCAAGGAATGAACTTCCATCAACAAAAGCAGAAGCACAGAGCACCAAACACGAAATCGATGCTCCAATGGAGTCAATTGAGATTTATGAAATGACAAGGTATGTGAACCGCCAGTCAACTGGCTAGCCAGATCGGAAAACTGAAACTGCTCAGAAACCAATGGTGATGTCTTGTATGCATATACCCATGTTGTAACAAGCAAGAGCGTTGTCCAGAGCACAGAAACCGCATAGAAATGGCTGAAGAATCTCTGAGGAACAGTAAATTTCTGGAGCCCAGAAACTAAGTCAGTGAGCTCCGTATATATAATGCGTATATATAACAGTATCCAACAAAAGAAAAGTAGAAAACACATACATAAACATACACAATGTTTTCGTTCTGAAAAATTAATCCCAATCGCACAAAGTAAAAAGTAAAAAAGAAAAAATACAAAATTTACGTGGTTCGAGAAGGATACCTACATCCACGGGCAATCTACATCCATGGGCAATACCGCCAAAAAAACTTTCCACTATCATAACAAATGAAGAAGTTTTATAATGCAATAGTTTTCTGGGTCGGACCAAGTCATCATTAAATATTTTAATGCAGAGTAACAAGACAGGATCAAAAGGATTCCTTTATTTTCTATATAATCAAACAAAGAGTATCCAACACCGAAGGTAAAGATAAAAAGAAAGTAACTTTTGATCGAACAAGAAATATTCGAAGACTTACTTGAGAAGAAGATTGCATTGTCTTTCCTCTCTTAGCAAACCCCAGTAAAATTCCTTGCAACGAGCTCAGCCTGCGACATGGTATTGAAGCCATGGCGATAGGCAGGAGAGCAGCAATCCAACCCGCTCTCATCAACCAAACAAGCCCAAACTCCATTTTCAACAAAAACGCAATTGAAGACAAAGCTCGTATAACGCTAGTTTGTTTGGAATCAATGAATAAAATTCGATCAAGTTACCAGTAGTCGCCATAGTTAAAGCGTATCGCAAATCACGATGGTATCCAATAACGGAAATAATACGCTGAAAATTGAATGCTCCAGATGCGAATCAAAAGTTTTAAAAGGCACGAGTCAAAGGAAGCACGAGGTGCTTTGAACTTTGTAGAAAGCGCGACTCTCCTGAATTCTGAAGC